GAGAGAGACTGGAAAAGAGGATTAATCCAGGTAAAGTAAAAAGTATGAGGAAGGGCTCAGACCTAAACAGAAAAAAAAAATGCAAGAGCATATTTGAAACGTAAGAGATGGTCCAGTTTTCAGGAGCATACAGGGAACATCATGGGAGAAAGTGTTAGAAAAATAGGTTCAGGCTATTTCCAACCCGAAGCCACATGTTTTGAAGTTTTAAAACCCATATGAGGAGAGGTGTTTTTTCTTTTCCCCTCCTGGGGTTCACTCCCACTTACAGGAAAATCATGGCCCAACTTCAATTTCTTTCTTTTCTCTCATACTCTGGTCTTTCCTAGAAAGTGAGTTCTTGCGTTTGTGTCCACAACTCGGGGGCAGCAGTCAGGGAGAGGGGTGCAGACCCTCAGCATGAGCAGCTTTATTTTGAGCTTTTGTACCACCGGGTTTCAGAGACTCCCTAGGGGCCTCCTGCCAAAAACCAGTTTAGAGAACAGTATATGCTGGATGCTGCTTGGGATGAACCCCGAGTTCATTAGGAGAAGGGAGAGGAAATTCCTTTCAGACTCTAGGACACAATCAACTTATGCTCAAGGTCCTGAAGTTTAATTACCCACATTGTTTTCTTAGGCTGCGTAGCTCTAACTGTGGCTCATAGTTATAAAAGTATCCGGTCCTTTAAAATCCTCCCTCATCCTTCAGCCTAATGACCTCCTGACAGTGATTAATTGGGAAGGGTGGGAACTGGGGAAATCCTTTCTCCTCCCTTTGGATCTGCCAACTTGGCTTTGAATCTACATGAATGTTATGGCCAGAGAATGTCCATTTCCACACCCTCCGCACTCACCTCTGCTCATGTTCTATTTGGTAATCATATGCATTCATATTTGCTAGATTAATTTTGACCCAGGCTTCACTATGTGCTGCTGCAGGAAAGCTTCTGTGTGGATTACTCCTCCTTCCTTGAACGTCTGACCATGAAATTAATGGTTCTGAAAATTTACCTTTGCTCTACAGTTTGAAGAGGATTTGTTTCATTGATCCTGCCAGGACATAAGCATAATCGTCTATCTTTCTTCAACCACTGAAATAAAGAGAAAACAGACCCTTTGATGTAACACCCAAACATTTAAAAGGTGCTTTTTCTTTCAAAGCAAACTTAAAAGAGACTTAGCCCATATTTTTTAAAGATCCTCAGCTCATTAATTATATGTAAATGTTATGGGAAGGGAGGTGTTTACTTACCTGTATCAAGAATTTCTAAATTTTTTTTTCCTCTAGCTGGCCACAGACCACATTTAATGAAATTATTACACTGTGTTCTCTGTCCATGTGCATCTTTCATCTTTTTCTTTTTAAAAATTTTTAATTGAATTGAGAGAAACATCAATTTGTTGTTCTACTTTATGGATTCATCGGTTGATTCTTTTTTTAATATATTTGATCGATTATGCTATTACAGTTGTCCCATTTCCCCCTTCGCTCCCCTCCTCCCTGTACACCCTCTCCCACCCATATTCCCCCCACCTTTAATTCATGTCCATGTGTCATACTTATAAGTTCTTTAGCTTCTACATTTCTCATACTATTCTTACCCTCCCCCTGTCTATTTTCAACCTACAATCTATGCTACTTATTCTCTGTACCTTTTCCCCCTCTCTCTTCCTCCCACTCCCCTGTTGCTAACCCTCCATGTGATCTCCATTTCTGTGGTTCTGTTCCTGTTCTAGTTATTTGCTTAGTTTCTTTGGTTTTGTTTTAGGTGTGGTTGTTAATAATTGTGAGTTTGCTGTCATTTTACTATACATGTTTTTTTTTCTTATCTTCTTTTCTTAGATAAGCCCCTTTAACATTTCATAAAATAAGGGCTTGGTGATGATGAACTCCTTTAACTTGACCTTATCTGAGAAGCACTTTATCTACCCTTCCATTCTAAATGAAAGCTTTGGATGTAGGTCCTTGCCTTTCATGACTTGGAATACTTCTTTCCAGCCCCTTCTTGCCTGTAAGGTCTCTTTTGAGAAATCAGCTGACAGTCTGATAGGAACTCCTTTGTAGGTTACTGTCCCCTTATCTCTTGCTGCTTCTAGGATTCTATCCTTCATTTTTACCTTGGCTAATGTAATAATGATGTGCCTTGGTGTGTTCCTTCTTGGGTCCAACTTCTTTGGGACTCTCTGAGCTTCCTGGACTTCCTGGAAGTCTATTTCCTTTGCCAGATGGGGAAGTTCTCCTTTATTATTTGTTCAAATAAGTTTTCAATCTGTTGTTCTTCCTCTTCTCCTTCTGGTACCCCTATAATTCGGGTGTTGGAACGTTTGAAGATGTTCTGGAGGTTCCTAAGCTTCTCCTCATTTTTTTGAATTCTTATTTCTCCATTCTTTCCTGTATGTTTGTTTCTTTCTTCCTTCTGATCCACTCTATTGTTTTGAGTTCCAGTTTTCTTCCCATCACTATTGGTTCCCTGTGCATTTTCCTTCATTTCTCTTATTTTAGCCTGCATTTGTTCATCTAATTTGCGACCAAAATCAACCAATTCTGTGAGCTTCCTGATCACCAGTGTTTTGAACTGTGCATCTGATAGGTTGGCTATCTCTCAGTCGCTTAAAAGGATGGGTTCTGGGGCCTTGATTTGTTCTTCTGTTTGAGCCATCTCTCTCTCTCTCTCTCTCTTTTTTTTTCTTGGGTCTGGTCGCACCTGTTACGGTGAGTGGCAGAGCCTTAGGTGTTCACCAGGGCTGGGCACACCAGTCACTGGATTGTGATGTTGTATGTGGGGGCGGGGTCAAGAGGGAACAATGGCGGTTGCTCTGTTCTCCGTGGGACCTCAGTCCCTTCTGCTGCTCCCCCCAAGCAAACTGGGCCCCTCTGGTGCCAGTTCCCATGTGAGTGGGCTTGTGCATGCTGTGGGACCTTCCAACCACCTCTCCTGTGATGCTGGGTGTCTCTCCATGCACCTCAACTTCCACAGGTGTCCTCAATCAGTGTCCCGAGACTCTATTTCCCAGTGCTGGGATGCTGGGTTGTGTGCACTGCCTTGCTTTACAATTGCCACCTCACTGTGCCTGCCAGTTGCCACCCCTTGGCCAGGGTCTGCCAGCTTCCGCTTGCATACTCAGGGTCCACCCGTTGTGGTCTTGCACACCCCGGATGCCTTATGCACCCTACTCACTCTGCTCTCCACGCCATGACCTGCGCCTGGCTGCTCGTCTCTGCCCCTCCTACTGGTCTGGATGAACGGGTCTGTTTCAACTTCTTGGTTGTCCGACTTCCATTCAGATCAATTTTCTGTCAGTTCTGGATGTTATTCTATTTCTAAATTGTTGTTGTTCCAATCTTGGTTGTGCGTGGAGGTATGGTGTGTCCACCTGTGCCTCCATCTTGGCCAGAAGTTGGTTGATTCTCATATGTACGTTGACCAGGGATTGAACCACCACCTTGGCATATCAAGGCAGTACTCTAACCAACTGAGCTACCCGGTCAGGGGCTTTTCCTCTTTTTCACCAAGACACCCTCACTGGTTTCTGTCCATGGCCGTCTTCTACACTTAGGGCCTTCAAAGAACTAAGCCTTGCTCATGGCAGGCATTTGGTGTATTTTTTTTGGGGGGGTGCTTGCAAGTAAGAAAGGTGGAACTCTTCAAGCCAGTGTCTGTGATACTAGTTCATTCCCCAGCATGCTTTGAGATCTATGTACCTCTTGACACATTAAAACATTTGGGGAGACAGCATGATGTAGGGCAATAGAACCATGAGAAGAGACTAAGCAGACTTGGGTCCAAATCCTAGCTTTGCCTTTTACCTCTGTAAGACCTGGATAAACCACATGACCTCTTTGATCTCTGAGCCTGAATTTTGATAGCATTGATTAATTTTAGTTATTTTTGAATCTATTGAAAGGAGACAGTAGAGTATATGTTTGTTTGTTAATGGTTTCTTGTATTCAATGTTTGTGAGATTCCTTTAAATTGTTGTACATAGCAATAGTTCTCTCAGTATTGCAAATTGTCCATTCTACTTTGATGGACATTTGGTTTGTTTCAGTTGTTATGAATTTTGATTCTGTGATAATTTTTATAAAATCTTTTACACATTCTGTTGAGTAATGTCACACAGGGTGTTCTCCCAGAAGCAGCTCTGAGAAAGATTTGCTTAGAGGAAGTTTATTTCTTCCTGCCATCAAGATCAGAGTTGCCTTCAAGATCAACACCTATGGGGCAGTGAGAAAAAAGGATGGGACAGAGAGGGAAGCTGGCCTTTGATGCAGCCACACAAAGGTCTCAGCCAACCTGTGGGGAGCTCCGGAACTGAAAAGCCCCACAGAGTTGTGCCAGTTACAGGCAACAAGGCTGGACCTTTATGTGTCCCTCATTCACCAGTCGTTGAATGTGGACTGAGCTGGGAAGTGTGCATGACTTTGAGTGAGACAGCTCTCTTTCACAGATGGGGGCGCCACATCTGTGAGCTGTCATCCATCCACATTCTTAGCAGCCGGTAGAATGAGCATTCTAGTCCTAAAATTCCTAAAACGTGTGAGTGTGTTTAGGGTGAAGCTGAGCAGTGCACCACAGTATCCATTACATGTCATTAGTAATTTCTAGGAGTAGAATTGCTGGTTTTTAGAATATGTATACATTCATCTTTAGTAGATACTGGCAAACAATATTTCAAAGTGTCTGTACTCAAATACCACCTTAATTTAGATTCTGAGATCCCCAAATGGGATCTTACCATGAAGATGAAAGAACATTTATAGAAGGGAAACATAAATGCAAGGATCTTCTGTACATTAACTTAATGTATTCTACATAATGGGGAAAGCAAACTTGAGAACCATTGGTGTAGGCTATTATCATTCTCTACCTTATGTCCTGACATCCTAAAAACTGTCAGTATTGTTCTGGATGTTTTGAAATGTAATTAAGTGATTAATACATCCTAAAGACTTCCTTTTGTGCTTAGAAAAGAAAGGAGATATATGAATTGACTGTTGCCTCGGATTTCATTTTTCAGAGTGGCCAAATCAATGAAGGTCCCTGTATATGAGACCCCAGCTGGATGGAGATTCTTCTCAAACCTGATGGACTCTGGACGGTGCTCTCTGTGTGGAGAAGAGAGCTTTGGCACTGGTAGGCTTTGTTGCATTGATGCTACTGGGAGGGGCGGCTGTAGCACTCTGTGACCCTGGTATGGAGACCTGTAAGACCAGGTCTCCAATGTGAATCAAAGGCTGGAGGAACAGTTAGAGGCAAATAAATAAATAGGAAAGAAATACACTTGGTGGAATATGTGTTATGATATACTTACCTCAACTTACCATTTCTTCTTCTTTTTTTTAAGCTTCCATTTATTTAAAAAATTTGCTGTTATGGACATCTTTTTAAAAAAAGCATGAGTAGGGAGAATATCATATTGAATTTCCATGTGCTCATGAGTTAATTGCAATCATCATCAGCTCATGGTCAATCTTGCTTTATCTCTGCCCTCATCCACCCAGGGGGCCCTCCTTCCTGATTATTGGAAGCAATCCCTAGTGAATCTTTAAGTAGAATGGCTATTGAGAAAAAAAAAGTACATAACCATATTATCATGCCTAAAATGTCAAAAAAGAAATAATTTCTTCTTTCAGTATTTTAAATGTGTCACTTTATTGCCTTCTGGCTTGCTTAGTGTCTAAAAAGTGGACTCTAATTCTTACTTCTCTCTCTTTTGAAATTCTCCCCACTTCCACCTCTGGTTGCATTCAACATTTTCTTTTTATCTTTTGTTTTCAACAGTTAAATTATACTATGTCTGGGTATGTGTATTTTTTTAAAACTGTGCTTGGGGATATCTCAGATTCTTGTTTATTGTCTTGCATTCATTTTAGGAAATTCTCAGTCAGTATTTTTTCAAGTATATTTTCCCCATTCTCTTTTTCTTCTTCTGGGACTTTAATTACACATATGTTAGATGAATTATGACCATATGTTGTTTCAGAGCTCTTTTATCCACCGTTTGGTTTTATTTACTTTTTTTCCTTTTGTGTTTGAATTTGGGTAATCTCTATTGACATATCTTTAAGTCATTGATTTTTTTCTTAGCTGTGACCAGTTTACTGATGAGCTTACTGAAGGAATTCTTCTCCTCTGATATCATGTTTTTATTAATAGCATTCCTCTTAGACTTTTTAAAAATAATGTTTCATCTTTCCAAAGAAATTCTTTTTATATATGTTGTTTATATGAAAGGAAATTTTTAAAATCCTCATAATTTATTTATTAAAAAATTGTGTATTTATTCTTACATGTTTAAACTTTGGTCACCTTCAAAGTACTCTCCATTTGATGCAATACACCTATTGGACATTTTTTCCACTGCTTAAAACAGCTTTTGAATTTGTTGATTTTGATGTTTTTTAGTGTTTCTGCTGGGGTTTTTTTTTTTCACTTCTTCCACATTGGCAAAACAGTTTCCTTTGAGGACATTTTTCATTCAGGTAAACAAAAAAAAGTTACTCAGGGTGAGATCAGGTAAATAGGGAGGGTGAGGCATGGGAATCATGCCATTTTTGGTCAAAAACTGCTGAACACTCAGCATAGTGTGGGCAGGTACACTTGTAAGTCACCTATCATGAAATGGGCAAATGTGTTGAAAAAGCCTTCAACCAAACATTTAAAGAACTAACATCTATCCTTCTCAAACCATTCCAAAAAAAAATTCAAGAGTAGGAAAGACTCCCAGACTCTTTTTATGAGGACAGTGTTATCCTAATTCCCAAACTAGGTAAAGACACAAGAAATAAAATTGCAGGCCAATATCTCTGATGAACATAGATACTAAAGTCCTCAACAAAATACTAGCAAACCAGATCCAGCAATACATTAAAAAGGTCATACACTATGACTAAGTAGGATTTATTCCAGGGATACAAGGGATGATACAATATTCATAAATCAATAAATGTGATACCTCACATAAACAAAATGAAAAACAAAAACCACATGATCATATCAATAGAAGCCAAAAAAGCTTTTGATAAAATCCAGCACCCATTTATGATAAAAAACACTTAGCAAAGTGGGAATAGAGGTAGCATACCTCAACGTACAAAATACCTACTGCAAACATCATACTCAATGGGCAAAAACTAAGAGCATTTTCCTTTTCCTAAGATCAGGAACAAGACAAGGGTGTCTGCTTTCATGACCTTTATTCATGACAGTACTAGAGGTCCTAGCCACAGCAATCAGATAAGAAGAAGAAATAAAAGGCATCCAAATCGGAAAGGAGGAAGTAAAACTGTCATTATTTGCAGACAACATGATAGCATGCATAGAAAACCCTATAGACTCCACCAAAAAACTACTCAAACTAATAACTGAATTTGGCAAAGTAGTGGGATACAAAGTCAATATTCAGACATCAGTGGCATTTTTGAACATCAACAATGAACAATCAGGAAGAGAAACTAAGAAAAAAAATCCCATTTACTATACCAAATACAACAACAAAAAATAAAGTACCTAGGAATAAATTTAATCCAGGAGGTAAAAGACCTGTACTTGGAAAACTATAGAACACTGAAGAAAGAAATTGGGAAAGATATAAATGGCAGCATATACCCTATTCATGGATTGGAGGAATTAATATTATTAAAATGTCCGTACTACTCAAAACAATCTACAGATTCAATGCAATTCCTGTTAAAATTCCAATGGCATATTTCATACATCTGGAACAAATACTTAAAAATTTTATATAGAACCAAAAAGGCCCTAAATAGCCACAGCAATCTTGAGAAAAAAGGAAAAAGTTAGAGGGATCACAATACTTGATATCAAACTATACTACAAGGCCATTGTAATCAGAACAGTCTGGTACTGGCATGAGAGCAGATATATAGATCAATGGAACAAAATAGAGAGCCCAGAAGTAAACCTGTCTCTATGGCCAATTAATATTTGACAAAGAGGGCATAAACATAGAATAAAGTAACATAGAGTAAAAATAACCTCTTCAATAAATGAGGTTGGGAGAACTAGACTGGTACATGCAAAGAAAGAAAGAAAAAAGAAACCAGACCACCAACTTAATCACACACCAAAATAAACTCAAAATGAATAAAAAAACTCAAATATAACTCATGATACCATAAAAGTTCTAGCAGAAAACACAGGCAGTAAAATTTCAGATATCCCATGTAGCAATATTTTTGCCAATATATCTTCTAGGGCAAGGGAAATAAAGGAAAAAATGAACAAATGGGACTAAATTCCATTAAAAAGCCATTTTGATGGCTAAAGAAAACATCATCAAAATGAAAAGGGAACCAATTGCATGGGAGAACATATTTGCCAATGATACATTGGACATGGGTTTAATCTCCAAAATATATAAAAACTCATACAACTCAAGGACAGGAAGACAAACAATCTAATTAAAAAATGGGCAAAGGACCTGAATAGACAATTCTCCAAAGAGGACATGCAGAAGGCGCATAGATATATGAAGGTTAAAATCACTAGACCTCAGAGAGATGTAAATTAAAATCACGATTAGATATCACCTCACACCTGTCAGAATGGCCATCAATAAATCAACAAACACCAAGTTCTGGTGAGGATGTGGAGAAAAGAGAACCCTAGTGCACCGCTTGGGGGAATGCAGACTGGTGCAGCCACTTTGGAAAACAGTATGGAATGTCCTCAAAAAATAAAAAATGGAACTGCCTTTTGACCCACTGATTCCATTGCTAGGAATATACCCTAAGAATCCCAAAACACCAATTGAAAAGAACTTATGCACCCCTATGTTCATAGAAGCACAATTTACAATAGCCAAGTGCTAAAAACAGCCTGTGCCCATCAATAGATGTGTGGATCAAAAAACTGTGATACATTTACATGATGGAATCCTATGGACTAGAAAGAAAGAAGAAGGAATTCCTACCCTTTGTGACAGCATGGATGGAACTGAAGACTTATGCTAGCTGAAATAAGCCAGGTGGTGAAAGACAAAAAACATATGATCTCAGTTATGAGAGGAATCTAACAAACAAAGTAAACTAATGAGCAAAACTGAACCAGAGACGTGGAAACTGATTGACAGCTGCCAGAGGAAAGGGGGGTAGGGAGGAATGGTGGAAAGAAGGGGAAAGGATTCATCAAAGAACATGTATAAATGACCCGTGGACATGGACAACAGTGTGGGGATTGATTGTGAGGCGGGGGGTAGGCTTGGCAGAGGAGGGCAAAGGGGGAGAAATTGGGGCAACTGTAATAGAATAAACAAGAATAATAAAAATAAAGAGAGTCTTCCAAAAAAATCACTGAGGCCAACACACAGCCTCTCAGAACAATGCCAGCTGGTACACTGATACAGGTGGGTTCCTAAAACACTCACCTACTGGGGGTAGCCGATACTACAAGGAGCCCACCCTCTAGAAAATAATTCCCTCATATATATTTATATGGGTTGTTTATCTTTTTCATTAGATCATGTAAAATATTAAACATAGTTATTTTAACCTCCCTGTCTGATAGTTCTAATATCTGGTTTATCTTAGTTTCTGGTTCTCTTGATTACTTATCTTGATAAAGCAGTGGTTTACTCCTTCTTGTTTTTCATTGAATTTTTCTTTGAATGCTGGATGAAATAAGAACAGTAGAGACTCAAGCAAATAATATTTATACACAGAATGGGCACAGCACGTCTTCCATCAGGCCCTTAGTGTACAAAGTTAAGTCATCTAGTAAGGAGTCAAGCTGGATTTGGATTTTACTGTTTCTATTATAATTTTTAGTGCACCACAGGCTTCAAATTCTTCCAGAAGTGGAATATTTTTTACTATGTGTTGAAAGCAAGGATAGGGTGCTGGAGGAGATTTTTTCAGTGTTTTTGTTCTATCCTTAGCTTCCAGCAGTCACTGCATACCTGTCATACAAAATAGACTTCTATCACCAGGGACTCCAGGGTCAGCTGACCTCTTCTTAGTATTAATGTGGAATCTGGGCCCAAAAAATTTTCCTACCCTCTCTCCAGGAGCAGAGGTTGTTAGTGCAACCCTATTCCAGTAGTAGTGGGTCCTTGGGATGAGAAGGGTCCAGTAGCCTGGGTCCTTGGGATGAGAAGGTTTGCAGCTCATACA